TATTTTCTTTAATTTTGCTAATTTTTAATTAATAGTCCGATTTTTGGAGAGAATATGAGAAAAAATTGGTTGTTTCTTTGGTCTAAACTAGAATTGATCGTTTTAATCAAACTAGAAACTTTGAAATGATGATTGCTGATAAAAAATGTTGGGAGGAAAAAAAGGGGAACAAATCAGTTTATTTTATTTTGGAAAAAAAAAACTACTGTTTGTTAAACTTATAAGTTTCGGAGAAATTTTCTATTTATATTTGTTAATAAAATGTTGAATTGCGAATTTTAACGGCGAAATTTATGAACTTAAATCTTTAAACTTTCTTTTCTTCTTTTTTTTTTTCAAAAACATTAATTAACTGCATGCTCAAAGCTTTTTGAGATTCTGAAGAAGGAAAAGAAAGAAAGATAAAGTGAAAAATTGGTTGATTGAACTTTGGTTTAGAGTCAAACCGAATTTTTTTTTTGGGGGGGGGGATGTTGTCATTTACTTGTTTTTCGTTGATTCTTAAAACTTCTGAGTGGTATTAACTGCTTTTTTTTGTTGTCGATTTTTTAAAGCTAGTTAAAAGTTTTTTTCAAAGGAATTTGATGAAGAGTATGTTTCTTTTTGACTTTCAATTTTCTGCCTTCTTTTTAAACCAATTTATAGCCCGTTTTCATAAGAACAAATGGGGGGGGGGGGGGGGAAGTGAAACAGACGATGTGGCTACTAAACTAAGAAACCAATACACGATTATTCTGGTGGACATGGAGAAGATGATAAAGATGACGATGTCGTTGTTGTTGATATTGGTATTGATGAACACAGTGACTGTGAAACGATACATCTGAAATGATAATTAGTTAATTTTAATGTCATCATGGCTTGTCAACTGTTTGTCTGCACATTTTTTCGGCACTGATCAAGAATTGACTGTAGGATGAGGCTATTCAAAGCTTCTAAATTTAATTACTGCCAACAAAGGACAGACAAGTAAATGAACGGGAAGAAAGAAGAGGCGAAAAAAAAACAGCTGAAATATACTAACTAAATGATAGATTGGATATTAAAAGCTACATTATTATTATTAGACGTTATAGAATAGATAAAAACTTTTAAAAAAAAACTTGAATTTTTCTAATTTCTTTTTTAGGAACTAGAAACTGACGATTGAAGTTGCCACCAGAAGTTCGGCGACTTCAACGAACACTTATCCCTTGTTTGTCTATTTTATCTTTCGTTTTTTTGCGCCAACGTTGGAGTTGATTAACAGTGTTTCGGGTGGACTTTACAACGTTGGCGAAACAAAAAGCAGCAAAACAACTGAGAACAACAGCAACATCAAGAATTCTGGTATTCAGAATCTGCATCTGTGCTACTACTGACAACGGTTCTAACTGAACTGGCAGCCGGAAAAAGAAGAAGAAGAAGCAGTTTTAACAACTTTCTTAACAATTAGTGGTCTTCAATGTAATAAAAGATTATTGTCATCTCAAAACAAAAAAAACTTAAAAAAACTCAAAAAAAAAGAAAAAAAAAGAAAAATATAGTTGATAATTATAAAAGATTGAAAGCAACTGTTGAAAGGAAGTTTGTCAAAAGTATACTGCTGATATATTGCTGGCAAATTACTCGGAACAGATGTCATCACCAACCGATCAGCAGTATAGTCCAGGTAAATTTTAGGTACTAATTGTTAAGAATATGTCAAAAAAAAAAAAGTTGGGTTTATTCTTTCTTTTCTTTTTCTATTCTAAATCTTCAATTAACATCTGAATCATTGGTTACAGTAAACTTTTAAAATAAATTTGCTGTTGAAAACCGGGAACTTTTTTTGAAAAAAAAAAAAAAAACAAAGAAGGGTGTGGTAGGTGACAGATTTTTTCATATTAATCAGTACGATTACGAACAGAATTCTGTTTATTAAATGAAATTTAATAAGATGTAAAAAATTACTGAAAATAAAAAAAATTCACTTCTCGAGAAAAATAAGGCTTCTTTTGAAAGTTACTCATTACACGGTTAGTGGGTTTCAAAGTTAAATTAAAATCTTCTCAACTCAGTTTCTTTTTGTTATTTAGTTATTAATTTTCGTTAAAAATTTTCTACATTTATAAAATACAAAAAGTTAGTTTGTTTTTTGTAGACAGTAAAATCTTTAAAAAAACTTTTCCTTTTTATTCTCAAAAAAGGGCATTTAAAAAGCAGTAAAACTGCACAGTTTTGGGGTTGCGCTTAATTCTGATTTATATTAAAATTTTTGCAACATATCTGGGTCGAATTTTCGTTTATGTTTATTATATTTTATGAAAATTTTCAAAATTTTTTTCTATTTTCCATTTTCTCAAACGTGTTAACAGAATCTGCAAAATTTGTAACATGAAAACTGCAGAAAAAGAAAATTGAAAAAAAAAAAGGTGTATCAAACACCTGCAGATTATTCGAAATAAGAAATTTAAAAAAATTTGCTTTATTATTTCGATCAATGATATCAAATCTATCGGTTAATGCATTTTTTAGCTTCTGGGCAATCTGTGGAGTATTTTGACGCTACCACAGAATCAACAGAAATGCAATTGATTCGATCACATTCATCTGCAGCCACAGAACCATCACCAGAAAATGCCTCGCCGGTAGATGAATTACGTCCGTTTCGCCGTCGAAGACTTCCGCGAAGGTACTTATCACTTGCAGTCTTTTATCTTTAACAGTTTTAATTGCTTTTAACAGTTACTTAGTGTTGATGCTATTTGGTCAAAACAGTGGAATTATGTGGCAAATAGTGCTAAATTTAGTTTTTTATTTTTCCAGACAAGTCACAGTTAAAAGGTGTTAAAAGAAAAAAAGACTTAAAATGAAGTCAGAAAAAAATTTTTCAGAAAAAATCAAAATAATTATGATACATCTAATTGAACAGTTTGTTGAATGTGTGTAAAACATACAGTTAGTTGAATTTTACTGAAGGATATTGAAAATAATTGTTATGGAAAGCTTTTGAGAACAGTAGGAAGAAAAAAGTGGTGAAAAAAATTTGCACAAAAGTAAGGCAACATTCCTTTGCTTCTTGTTTTTTTTTTTCTTTTTTTTTTTGAGTTATTATTTTTTCTAATCAAAAAATTATTTTAGAACTTCTTTTAAAAATTTATATTGGAATAAGATTCCATGAAAAAAAAAAAAAAGGACGAGCGTTCATTAAGTTTTGTAATGTTAAAGGCTTCTTAGGCCATCCTTAGAGGTTTTTTGTCTCTGTTGTTGTTCATTACATTTAAAATCTGTGTGTAAACTGTTAGTGAAAATAAAGCTTTAAATTGGCAGAAATATATAATTTACCAGAAAAAATTGAGAAAATGTGTTTTTTTTTCAGAATTTTCTTTTTATACATATGTCAACATAATTTTTTTTTTTTTTTTT